CACCCATAGTCGCTGACTTCGAGACGAAGGATGACGCAGTTTGGAAATGCTTCTCGCCTTATCCTCTGTCGGTCATGGATAAGATTCGCATGGACTTTCTCATCCGGGAACAGATTCGTGAAGGAAAACTGGTGAAGGTCGACAGCACCATGCCGCCGCCACTCCATGTTTCGCCTGTCTTCTGTGCAGATAGGACGGGCCACTTGACCAAGCGGATGGTAGTGGATTATCGTGCAGTAAACAAGAACTTCAAGTCGATTGCCTTTCGGATGCCAGACGCCCTACAGATTTTCAAGAATCTTGAAGGTGGGTACTACTTTGGGGCATGCGACCTTGCTATGGGCTATAATCAGGTCGAGCTGTCAGAGCAGATGCAGCGTTTGCTCACTGTCGTAGGTCCAGATGGCTGTTACTACCCCACCAGACTACCACTTGGTCCATCTCCAGCTCCCGCATTCTTTCAACAACAAACAGCTAGTGCGTTTGAGGACGTGGTAGACGGAGTCTTCATCGACGACTTGATCTACAAGGGTAAAGATTTTGATGAATTTCTCAGACGTAGTAAGGAGCTGTTTGATCGGTGCGAGGCTACTGGCTTTACCCTGTCCTTGAAGAAGTCCGTGTTCGGCAAGAAGACAGTGGAGGTTCTAGGTTTCAACATCAGCCAAAAAGGACGGACACCGACACCAAAAAAGGTTGAACAGCTTCGAAACTGGCCGGAGCTCGAAAGCAAGGACGACCTGGTCAGCCTATTGGCGTTCGCAAACTACCTTCGGGAATTCATCCCCGACTACCAACGGAAACGAGGTCCACTAGCTCCTTACACGAAGAAACGCGGAAAACCGTGGTCAGATTTTTCTGACGATGTCGAAGCACAAGATGCGCTGCTGCAGCTGAAAAACAGCATCGCAGATGATGTCCCACTGACCAGCATCGACTTCGAAGCAGCACATAACTGGCGAAAGACAGGCCGTCCAGTGGTAGTTACATGTGACGCGTCACGATACGGTCGAAGCTATGTCATCTGCCAGGCAGCACGAGCAGGAGGACCACTGCGGCCTTGTGTAATCAAAGGCGTGAGCTTCGATGAGCACCAGCAGGGATGGAGTGTCCTTGAGCAAGAACTTAGTGCTGTTAAACTTTTCTGCGAGGATGGCTGGAAGTACGTTGATGGACTTGAAATCTTTCTGCTCTTTGACCATGAAAATCTCGACAGAGTCGACGATCTACTGGGTAACCAACGTGTCCGCGACAAGATACTACGCTGGCTTGAGGTAGTGCGACAACGACTAGACTCCGGCGCAGTTCATCGTGTTCACATCAGTGGCACTATCAATGTTTTAGCGGATGCAGCTTCGCGTCATCCATCAGTACAAACGTCTACCATTCGCAAAGAAGACCTACCGTTTCCGGTTTCAGCCCGAAAGATTTTGGACTTCTTGTTTGACCCTCGAGCACCCGACATGCCAGTTGTACCTTCCGCATCGATGCATTCGATCGTCTTTAAACCGCCTAATTCTGATCAGCGTCGACAATCGGCATACTCTAACACTTCTTCATCAGCAGTCGATGTTGTGCTAAACTACGATGAGGATCGCGATCGTAGATGGACCGTAAACAAAGATGCTTTCCCGTGGGAGTTAGATTGGCGCAAAGGTTTCCAGACTGACGTGCCAAGTTTTCATAGTGAGCATCCGACAGAACAACTTGCCCGACGAGCAGCACTTCGGGCTGTGGCTGAGCACTTTCCCTCCGAGATGAACGAAGAGTACCACCCCCGAAACTTCTACGTTCTCGGCCTGCACCTGGAGAAATACAAAACGATGGACCTTGAAGTGCTGCAAGAACAGCTACCACTGAAGTTCTCACACTCAGCGTGGGATCCATCTTGCATGTCGCTCCACCAAGTATGTCCTACTGCAGAGTCAGGCACTAGACCTGATTGGTCTGGGGGGAAACATTTTGTTTGCAAGTGTAGAGCCCAATCAGGTGCGCCTGATTCTGAAAACGACCAAGACCACGAACACAAAGATGACGATCTGCCACCACCAGCTTTAGCAGGTTCTGATGATGATACGGCCCAGGATGCACAACCTGAAAGTGCTGGCGATAATAGTTCTTCTCCCCTCGACGGTGATGCGCCACAACAAGACGACGCAGCAGCATCTGTTGACGTTGATGCACCAGTAGCACTTATCGAAGCGTCAGCTGCTGATCTTAATCCTCCTCCAACACTAAAGCTTGAAGATTTCTATTCCGACGACATGCTTCTTGATGTGAAACTGTTCAAGCATTTTTTCAGAGGTGAAAAGCCAACTCTAGTGCAAGTTGTCCGTCCTGAAGATGGCCAAGAATGGGTGCGAATTCCTGACTGGCGAAGGCTCCATGTGGTCAAATACAGCCACGAAAAACTGCAAGCAGGCCAGGCGTGGGAATTTGGCGCAATAGGTGACGTCATTCCTGCGACCGATCTCACCGCAGTAGTGTTCTTTGGTGAGACCCGCACTCGTCGTTCCGACAGACGACTGACACCAGCCGAAGATCTTCGTCGAGATTGGGTTCAACGAATAGTAGCGCTGCAGCAGAAGGACTTGAAGTGCGCTCACTTACGACGCGCTGCTGAGTACCTGTCGTCTGGTTTCTCCTCCGCTGAGGCCTTCGAAAAAATGGGCACTAGAATTTCAGCCGGAGATAAGCGTGAAGCGCTTCTGCAGTGCGTTTTACGACCACACCAAGTCGATGATGATGGTTGTCTTCTAATTTTTGAGCAAGGAACTTGGGCTGTTTATGTCCCTGACGGAATTTGGGAAGTAAACCTTGACCATCCTCGAGGAGTAACCGTTCGGAAGTATTTCCTGCACTACGCGCACCACGAGAGCACGCACGCGAAGGCGGCGGGAACGATGGCGCATCTGCATCAGCTGGGAGTATGGTGGCCTACCATTTGATCGGACTGCACTAAGTTCGTCCGGCGTTGTGTGGACTGCGCGGCCTACCACGGTGTGCCAGACAGGACGGCTCATAGGCTGAACGAAAGCGCACAAAAGTTTCGTGACAAGTACGTCATGGACTTTCAGGGACCGTTCAAGAAAACCAAGCGTGGCAACCTGCATTTTTTCACCTGCGTCGACAGTGCAACTATGTGGTTCTGGGGCAGAGCAACTGCAGCAAAAGACGCTGGCACAGTGGTCAGGATTCTCCGCGAAATTTTTCTTGAGTTCGGCGCGCCACGAGTACTTCGTGCTGACAACGGCTTTGGCTTTTCAGAAGGTTCAAGGATCAGGAAGTTTCTGCGCGCTGAGTTTCCCAACACTCGATTGGTACTGGGAACAGCATACAACCCTAAGTCGCAGCAGGCTATAGAACGCGTTCACCCTTTCGGCCGAAAGTTTTTCACCTTCCGCCGGTCGAAGGAGTGGGACGAGCTGACCACGCAGTTTCAGTGGCGAATGCGAAGTACGCCGTGTGTTGCTCGCGACAACCTCACACCACTGGAGATGTTGATACAAGAACCACTAGCAGTAGGTGACGCTGAAGCTGAATCTCTCACCGACCAGTTTGACGACGCAGTACGACGACGACGCGAAAGACGAAAGCTAGTGCAGGAGCAAAGGAAGATTATCACCGAGTACCGAAGTGGACTTTTGGCACGGCAACATGCAGCAAAAATCCAGCCTCTTCCCCGTGGTCAGTTAGTGCTTGTCCAACTGCCTGAAGAAGATCGAAAGGTCAAGAGTCGACTATCAGGAAACTGTCGCACCGAGCTGTTTGCGATCGATGCTGTCTATCAGCGCAGCTACCTGCTGATGAACCGCGACCGATCTACTAAGTTGTCCATCAAGAACCCTGTTAGCATGGAGCGAGTCGTCGACACTAAAACTCATATTGATGACTATGCTGTTGAGTCCCATCGATTTCAGAAGGATGGCAAGCGCGGAAGAATTTGGTGCATCAACACGTTCTGGAAGGAGGACCAAGGAAGAGCAAAGTGGGACGATGATGGGGTTGAGTTTGAAGTTGATAGTTACCG